ATCTGTATTTCTCCCAAAATGTGAGTTGCCTGTCATTATTAATTGGCACATGAGTTAAGTTTTAGAATGTTAATGATGATATATTTATTTTAATATGTGTTCTAAAAATTTATGATTGGCCCATCAAAGCCAGGGGCTGACTTAAAAGCCAGTGATTTCATTGAAAAGAAAGTGTTCATTAAAAAAACAGTACAGAAAATAATATAGTGAGTGAATTTAAGGAAAATATTAAATAAGTAACACAGTTAGCATGAGGAGATTTTGAAAACCATGAATGTTGACCCTATAGGATTAAAGTTTGAAGGTAGATGTGGTGGCTCACGTGTAATCCAAACTCCAGAGACTGAGGCAGGAGATTGATTAGAGACCAACCAGGCATGCAAACAGAACTAACAAGGTCCAGGCAGAAGGAAAGGTGGATTGGTGGCCGTCGGGGGACACTGACCCAGCTGAGCAATGCAGTTAAGGGTCCTGGTCTGCCACATGAGAGAGGTTGGCATCCAAGGAGGTCAGGCGACAAGAAGTCTTCAAGTCGAGCAGGAAGCCACTGCTGAAGGCTGTTGACACATCAGTTAATCTCTGGGCCTGCGCTGATTTTCATTCTTAAAATGAAGGGACCAGGTGGTCCCTCCATGGTGTTTCAGGTGTAAGCGAGAATAAGGTCACTAGCGAAACCAAGTTACCTATGTGAAGAATGTGTCTGGAAGGACAGTGGGAAGCTCCCAGCAGGCTGCTTGGGAGGGGTGCAGGGGGGCGGTGGGGGGGGGGGTTGAGGGCTGTTGAAGGAGGAACATTTGGGAACTCACATTTACCCTTCCTTCAGATTCTAAGGAAGGCCCTGGAGTCTTACAGCCAGTGTTCAGATCTCAGCTCCTCCTCTTCGCCTCTGCCACAGCGGTGGGGGTGGGGGAGATTTAACCTACTTACACTGCATGTTTTCCTTGGTGCTTCTGCTTTGGGTTTGTGTGCACACATGTGTCTGTAAAGTGGAAACAGCACGTGGGTCGACGAAGACCGAAATTAAAATGAAATACGGACACCGAAAGTGCTTAGCCGTTGCCATCACAACCAAGGGCTATCTCACCCCGTTTGGATGTGCCGTCCAGTGATTCCGAGTAGCCCAGCTGCCCTTCCGCCTCCCACTCTGACAGCGAAAGGCTGAGGGAGGCATCAGGCCACGTGTTTCTCCAGCTTTACTTCTCATGCCCACACCCGGCTGATCTGGGATGGCACCCCTTTCGGGAGGGCGGGGCCGGCCCTGGGGGACTCTGGGCCTGCTGGAAGGAGCTCTGGCTTTGAGGCGGCCGCACTTTCCCTGGGAGGAGCAAGAGCCAGTCAGTGTCCACATGTGAGAAATGCTCGCTTTCACATCTGTGTGTTAGACCCCGAGTGTCCACATTCCTAAAGTAACTGTCAGCGGTCTAGGTCTCAGTTTCCCAGTGACGAACTCTAAGATTTTAAGAAATGCCCAAACGTTTTTAAGTAGCGATGTACTTTGTCTGAGCTAAGCTTTCAAAGGAATTAAACATCAGAAACATCTTACAGTCAAAAGAATATGAGGGAATTGTGGAGTAAGGAAAAATATTCTATTCCATATCTTGACTATATGTTTGTCAAAACTCATAGTACTGTGAGCTGACAGGAGGGAGTCACTATAATGGAAATCATGCCATAATAAATCTGACAGATTAAAAGAGAAAGTCGCTCTTGTCAATGTATTCAGAGGGAGATGTTTCCTAAAAGTTTAGTGAGTTTTAAAACCTACCCCGGGCTGACAGAGTCTGGCAATTTCTTGCAGCAGCAAGTGCTGAACGATGGGAGAGGCCTTCTGTCCTTCTGTCCTTCTGTCCTTCGGGACACAGCCTCAGAAGAGGGCCAGTGGCAGACAGCAGAGTCATGTGAGGGGACCAGCACACCCTGTCTGTTTGTGGGAAGATCATGGTCTGAAAATTGAAATTTTTATCACAGACTTATTCTTCCTGTGTTTTGTTGCTGTATCTGCTCCCAGATAGCTAGTCTTAAAAAGAATGGCACGCCATTCAAAACTCACACAGAGTTTACAGCGAGACTCTTAACACCACAGCGCCTGATTTTGCCCCAAGGGTGGCAGATGAGCGAGCCTGTGTGGTTACCTTTCAGGCCAACACCGAGAAACCGACCTTGAATAAGACAGAGCAGGCTGGGAGGAATGCTCTTCTCTCCGACATCAGCAAAGGAAAGAAGCTGAAGAAGACGGTCACCAATGACAGAAGCGCGCCAATATTGGACAGTAAGTAAAAACTCTTTCCCACAGTGCTACCTGGTTTACAGCCTAACGGTCAACTCACCCCGCTCACCAAACCCTCGTCTCCCCTCCCCCTCGTGCTAACAGCAGCTGCAGAGCTAGCGAAAGACAGGCCTGTGTTAGTCATTGTAGCCACAGCTTTGGCTTGAGCCCCCTCTAATGCTCCAGGAAGCCAGCATAATAATTCTTTGTCCAAGAAACACACAGCGGCGATTCTCTGAATTATTCATAGCGCTTTCTGGAGATTAACCCATTGCTCCTGGCGTCACAGATGACAAGGAGGCATGAGACATGGAAAGTGCCATGGCCTTCGAATCAGGAGTCAGGGCCCTGCACGGCCATCAGGCCACAACTTCCAGCCTTAATATCTTCATTTGTAAAGTAGAGATGATGCCTCGTTACAGACCACAGTGAGTCTGTTGTGAGCTGCAAATGCGATAATGCTTGTCTAGTGCTCTGTTGTCTGCAGAGTGGAACTCGAGAGAAAGATGGGATTCCCAGGAGGCTGGAGAGAGGAAATGAGATCACAACTTGCTTATCTGTACGTCTGGGTCCAAGAAGTCTTCTGCAGTAAAACAGGGTTTATATAAACAAACAAGGACGCACAATGTAAGCCTCTGCATTGGCGTTTACGATGGAGTGAGAACCGTCCCTGGCGGGATTGAGGTCTTGACGCTGTCCTTTCCAAAGCACTGGGATTTATCATAGCCTCAGATCTCATTCAGAAACTGACAGTCACCAAGTACAGCTCCGCAGACAGGTGACTAAGGATGCAGGGTTTAGGAGGGACAGAGGTAGGTAGGGAATCCCTGGGGAAAGGACCTAACGGGTAGAAAAGGAAGAAGTGTGTGTGTGGTGGTGTGTGGGGGCGGTCAGAGTTGGAAGAAAAAGGGAGGAAAATGGAAAGGAGGAAAATAACGGCTTTGAACAGGACTCTGTGGTCGGGTGCATATGAGAATGCACGGCATTCAGAAAGGCACTGTGGGTTTTCAGCATTTGACTAACAGTCCATCTCTAAACGCCCCACAGTGTTCGTGTCTGGGAGCCCAGCACAGCTTAGCTGGGAAGCTTGGGTCTACCAGCCATCTGAGTTGTGGTCTGTAGCGTGCAGCTAGAGAGGTAACGACTCTAGGACGGAGGACATCAGCTCTCTCCTCCAAGAGTCCGGAACCTTGAAGAGTAGGTGTGAGTTTCTTGCCAACTCTGAAGGAAACTGGACAGCCTGGGCCTGTTCCTGACGCCTAATGGAAACTCCTCTTAGTCTTCAAGGTCCATGTCTTCCATTGTACGGAAATAGCATTAGCCTTTCCCTCTCCAGCTCAGTGGTGCTGAGGGTGCGCACCTGACATCTGTAGCCGATGTGTGCCTTCATTGTCCTGTACGTAACTGGACACCCATACTGCTGTCCAGGCTCTTTGCAAACAACCAAAGTCTTCCATGGTTTTGTATTTGTTTGCAAAACCTCCCTGGGCTCTATATCATGATAGCTTTTTTTTTTTTTTTTTTTTTTTTTT